ATATATATATATATATATATATATATATATATATAGTTGAACGACTACATAATTTTAAAACTCGACATTAACATAATAAAACTTGAGTAGAACTCAAGTAGTTGATGACGTCATGTGATCTCAAGATGCAAAAATAAACAAATAAACAAATAAAACCACAAAAAAAAGTAATTTATTATTTACAAAAAAAAAAAAAAAAAAGACCAACAAAACATTGGGAGCATATATTATGCTCCTACCATTTATCATACTGCAAATAAGTCACAGGAAAACCAAAACTATTAGTTATTATTATGAAGCTGCAAAAGTGAACGAAACGTATGCCACGTCAAAAACTAAACTAAAAACATTATTGAGCATGCATCAGGATAAACTAAAAACAGTGGGGAAGATGACCACCTCCCACCACCGCCCACAGTGGTGTGCATTATGTTTAGTTTTAGAGATTAATATGTTTATAGGTTTAGAGATTAATATTTTTTGCTTTTTGTTTGTGAAACAAGGTCAGAGGAAGCTGGTTCTGGTTGAGTCATTGGACCCGGTGTTACACCATATTCTGTGACCTGCAACAGTGCATGCAACACCACCCCCTACGGTCACAATATACGGTGGTCACAGAATATGGTGTAACACCGGTTCACAACAGCTCCAAACAGTCAGGAAGTTGATTCATTTTCTGTTTCCTTACGGTAGTTGAACTGGAAGATTCATCTTTAGTTACATTTTTCCATACTATTGATGCATTTCTACCTGTTTGCCAAGACTGGGCCTGCTCCGCTCAGTCCATCTGCTTGGAGGAATCCATTTTGTAGCCCGCGCCCAGTGCGGATCACGTGACGCAATGACGTAACGCCGATGTATGACGTCACTACGAATACTCGACGTGAAATTTAAAAACTTGAGAGGTGTCCTAGGAATCGATGTGTCGATTACTCGAGTAGTCTGTTAAAGACCTAATATATATATATATATATATATATATATATATATATATATATATATATATATACATATATATACATAAAGGCATTTTTAAACCCTTCCCACACTCTTGCAATATTCTAAACAATGTTTCTAAACTCTAAATGCTCTAAAAGAGCACAAAATGTCATGATTTCATCTCTCTGCCTCCAGCTACTCTCTGCCAGTGCTCTCGGCCACGCCCACTTCTCCACCGCAGAGCAGAGATATGACAAGCTACAGGAGGGAGCTTTTCTTGCAGCTTGGGCTGCACACTGTGTAGGAGATGCTAAATAATTTTAAATAATTGTTTTTTAAAAATTCCATGCCGATTGTGAAGCTCATCCATCTATCCGCCAATTGTGTGCCATGACCAATCTTACTTTGAAAAACCACGATAGAGCTAGTCTCCGAAAAATAAATTGCGAAGTAGCGAGAGACTACTTTATTTCACTAGCTCTTCTAAGTACTAACATTTCCCTGTGTATTTGCTAGCAATTTGCTACTTGTAGCTCTAAGCTAGCATTTTCTTGTAATTTACAAACATTTTACTACAGCTGGTGTAATACTGGCCCTTCCCTGCATTTTGCTAGTGTTTGCTATTTCTTGCCCTACATCAGTTTTTCCTACAATTTGCTATTTAATTACTTCTGACTTTCATCTAGCTTTTTGCTGGTGTTTTGCTACTTCCTGCTCTATTAGTGTGAATTTTGCTATCTTTTTGTTACTTTTGACTAAACTGTTTTCCTAAACTTAGCTAGCATTTAGCTACAAGCTCTTTGCTTGCATTTTCCTGAATTTTTGCTTGCTTTTTGCTATTTGTTGCTAAATAGTGGTGTTTTCTTTTAATTAGCTAGCATTTGTTTAAATGCTGCTAGCATTTTGCTACATTTAATTTATGGCCTTTTGTTACTCATCCATACATCCATCATCTTCCGCTTGTTCTGACGTCGGGTGGCGGTGGCAACAGCTTGAGCATGGAGGCCCAGACATCTCTTTCCACAGTCACCTCTTCCAGCTCTTTTGGGGTGATCCCAAGGCATTCCCAGTCCAACCGAGAGACGTAGTCTCTCCAGCATGTCCTGAGTCTTCCTCAAGGTCTCCTCCCAGTTGGACATGCCTGAAGCACCTCCCTAGGGAGGCACCCAGGAAGCATCCTTACCAGATGCCCAGATAGACACCCTTATGTTCAAACATGGTGTTCATGGTGGACAACTATGACTAGCACAGAAGTTCAACAACAGAACACTGCTCGGGTTCAGATCAGAGAGGCCGTTCCTCCCAATTACCCTTCCAGGTCACACTGTCATTACTCACATGTGCATTCAAGTCTCTCAGCAGAATAAAGGAGTCCCCAGCTGACGCACCTTCCAGCACCACCAAGGACTCCAAGAAGGCCGGATACTTTGAACTGCCATTTGGCATGTAGGCACAAACATCAGTCAGGGCCTGTCCCCACACCCGAAGGCAAAGGGAAGCCACCCTCTCATCTACCAGGGAAAACTCCAACATACAGGCACCAAGTCGGGGGACCAAAAGTAGACCCACACAAGCTCGGCGCTTCTCACCATGGGCAAATCCAGAATGGAATAAAGTCCAGCCCCTCTCAAAGAGATAGGTTCCAGAGCCCGTGTTGTGCATTGAGGTGAGCGCATCTAGATCTAGTCGGTACCTCTCAACCTCATTTACAAGCTCAGGCTCCTTCCCCACCAGAGAGGTTACGTTCCATGTCCCAAGAGCCAGCTTTGGTAATCCAGGGTCAGAGCGCCAAGGCACCTGCCTTTAGCCACTGCTCATGGAGTCATGCACTCAACTCACCTTTTGTTACATTTACCCTATAGCTGATAATTAGCTATATTTAGTTTTCAGCTCAGCTTTTTTAGAAAATTTCAAAAATATTTCAACTGTTGATGGTCAAATATTTAACTGTGCAAATTCAGCCAATACTTATTGTTCAAATTTTGATCTCTTTTCTTCAGTTTTCAGCAGACTTGTTTAGCAGAATTTCAGCAAAAGCATTCACACTTGATTTTTCCAGAAAATGCTACATTGTTTAGTGATCCAAGTTTTACTTTTACTTACATCTGCTGTTGAAAGCTATAAACCCGATTAGTATTCAGATGGTGGCATCCTTTTCTCACGTTCAGAAACATCTGAAACTTTGTTAAATAATCTTTCTGCAGTGAATGTGCTGCTTTTATGAAACTATGAAACACCCTTGAGTAGTTTTCAATTTAAAAATATAATTTTATAAGTAGACACCCCACTCCTTCCATGTTACAAGTGAGTATATAAAGGGACATTTCTCAGAAAACTGCACCGACACCTTTCTCTGCAGGATTAACCCAATGAGGAGGAAACAACAAACCTTACCAGAAATGAGCGATGCAGCAGAATTGAGCGCACACACACACATGCAAAAAAAAAAAGAGCAAGGCATGCTGGCAGAGTGAAACACACCAACACATTCTGAGGAGCACTGAGTAAGTTTGGTGAAGAATGTGGTGAGTGTTAACATTTTAACTTCTACATGTTCAGCTGCCATTTAACTTCTTCTTGTGTGTAGGTTTGTTTTGTGTGTGCACGTGTGGCTGTGCTTTGTGTTTGTGTGCACAATCAGCCACAGGAAGTGAGGGTCGACGAGGGTGTCAAAGCGGGTGGTTCGTGTACGATGATAGTGAAAGAAGTGTTTGAGATGTGGTTAAAGATGATCAGATGGATTTGGTTCTGGTATTAACAAGTTAGTTTACAAGGAACAGTTAACAAGGAAGTATGATATTCTCTGCTTAGAGCCTAAATCTGGATTGGGATTATTGAGGATTTCTTTCATATTTGGAGAGTTTGTTTGCGTTTCAGAAACAAGTGCCTGAATGTTTGTCACAGAGGCCTTTTCGACATGACTCATTCAACGATATCTCATTTGAAAAGTTCAGCTTAAAGGACAAAAAAGTCCAAGATAAACATTTATGATTCCCCTAAACAGTTTCATTCTTTGAAATATTTTAATCTGTTAAAAATGTTCAGAGTGGACGGGACAACATTCAGTCTTTACTGGATGGAGAAGAAGGGAGGAAATGTGTATGGCTTGAACTTTTTGCTAGTTTTCTGCTTTCATAAGATTTATGGTATGTGTTTTAACAAAGAATTTGAAGAAAATCTTTTTTTTAAACATTTTTAATAAGAAGAAGCTAGAATCAGGATTACAACTGTCACATTGGAAAGTAAGTTAACGTGTTTTTATGATTAAATCTGTGAAAGAAACTCAGCAGGGATATGTGATGCTTCATGATGTAAAAGATGAGTAATTATCTTTAAACCAAAGAATTGTTCATGTATCTTTAGACACTGCTACTGATCTAATTTATTTATGTGATCTGAGTGAAATTGTTAAGAAAAGGCTTATAGAGCAAAAAGGCCACATAAAACCACAAGGTTTTGATTTTGTGGGTTTTTTTTGTTTGTTAATAACTTAACTCAACAAATACTTGTGCTTTCACAAAATAATTGTGCTTTCACAAATGTGGACCTGTGTATTTGTGTAAACCGTTAACGTAGGATAGTTGCTGACAGGAAATGGAAGCCATTACACGTTGAAAACATGCAGTCATCATTATTCTGAGATTTGAAGGAAAAACGAAAGAAGTGTAAGATTATAACACTTGTTTACAGTTTATCTTGCATCCCATTTTTCTATTTTATTATCTGACTTTGAAGTTTCTGCAGAGAATAATTCAGTGATTTTTGTCCTGGCAGATTATATGGTTACATAGTTGTTGGTTTGTTTTTTTTTTGTACATCAGAGACTGTGAAGTTTTGATTAAATGCTCTGCTCTGTCTTACAGCATCACGAACGAGTCAGGGAACACCTCAGAGATGTACGAGGAGTATTACTATGGCTTCTGTGACAACGAAATCACTTCAGTTTTCCCCAATGTTTCAAAAGTCCGCCTGGTTTTTTACTACACACTCTTTGGCCTGGGTCTACTGGGTAGGTTCAAATATGAATGTATTGTATTTTCCTCCATTTTGTGTCCATAATAAGAATTGTTTACACCCAAAACCAATTCAATATACATCTTGTCAGCATTTATATTTACTGGTTTGTTGCAAAACAAAGTCCAGGTTATAACTAGAACAACAACATATCTGCCTTAAAGCCGAAGTCCTACACAACTACACTGTGATGTGAAAAATGAGCAAACACTGCCAGATTCTATAGTCTTAGTTTAAAGTCTGCTAAAAACCTTTTATACCAACATTTACTGGCATTAAATGTTTCTGAAAGTGTTGAAATAGCTACTTACAACTGCATAGTTGTCAAAAATTAAATACTTAGTTAAAGCATTAAATTGAACTTGATTTGCACTGGAAAAATTAATCTAAATATGGGATTCTAATCCAGTCCACCAATCAAACTTTTTAAAAAGAATTTCTGACTAGTTGGAACAATAAACCTTATTTGATCAACAATTACTTCAGCTATAAAACAGAGGCCGAAAAATACTATAGACTGTTTAGTTTTCAGTAAAAAAAAAAAAAAAGAGAGACACAGACATCACCATTTTATTTATGCTGCAATGCATTCTGGGTAAATGATATAGTGCTCCATTGAGTTTGAATGTTAATCTGGGACATTTATCGGGTGTTCAGCCCTTTAATTTGAACCAGAGCACACTGATAAAGAGAATTTAGAAATGACTCAACTTTCATATTAGCTTCAGAGCTAATTTAATTTAAAAATACTTTATTACTCGCAAACAGAAATTAAATGTGGTAACTCAATATTCTGGCTTTATTAAAGAGTTGACGCATGAGCACCGGTGACCCCCGCGACCCAAAAAGGAAGAAGTGGGTAAAAATAATTGACGGCTGGATGGATGGATTAAAGAGTTGTTATAGTAGCCTATATAGTTATATAATGTATTAAAATATATAAAAATATATATAGTTATATAATATCCATCCATCCATCCATCCATTTTCTTCCGCATATTTGGGGTCGGGTCGCGGGGGTAGCAGCTTAAGTAGGGAGGCCCAGACTTCCCTCTCCCCAGCCACTTGGGCCAGCTCCTCCGGGCGAATCCCGAGACATTCCCAGGCCATCCGAGAAACATAGTCCCTCCAACGTGTCCTGGGTCTTCCTCTGGGTCTCCTCCCGGTGGGACGTGTCCGGAACACCTCACCAGGGAGGCGTCCAGGAGGCATCCTACCCAGCCACCTCAACTGGCTCCTCTCAACGTGGAGAAGCAGCAGCTCTACTCTGAGTCCCTCCCGGATGATCGAGCTTCTCACCCTATCTCTAAGGGAGAGCCCAGACACCCTGCGGAGAAAACTCATTTCGGCCGCTTGTATCCGAGATCTCATTCTTTCGGTCACAACCCAAAGCTCGTGACCATAGATGAGGGTATGAACGTAGATCGATCGGTAAATTGAGAGCTTCGCCTTTTGACTCAGCTCTCTCTTCACCACGTCAGACCTGTACAGCGCCCGCTTCACTGCAGACGCCGCACCTATCCGCCTATCGATTCACGCTCCATTTTTCCCTCATTCATGAACAAGACTCCAAGATACTTGAACTCCTCCACTTGGGGCAGGACCTCCTCCCTGACCTGGAGAGGGCACTCTACCCTTTTCCGGCTCAAGACCATGGCCTCGGATTTGGAGGAACTGATCTTCATCCCGGCCGTGTTGCACTTGGCTGCAAACCGCTCCAACGAAAGCTGTACATCACGATCTGATGAAGCCAACAGGACCACATCATCTGCAAAAAGCAGAGACGCAATCCTAAGGTCACCAAAACAGATCCCCTCAACACCTTGGCTGCTCCTAAAAATTCTGTCCATAAAAGTTATGAACAGAATCTGTGACCAAGGGCAACCTTGGCGGAGTCCAACTCTCACCGAGAACAAGCCCGATTTACTGCCGGCAATGCGGACCAGGCTCTGACACAGATCATACAGGGACCTAACAGCCCCAATATATAATATATTACATTATATTTTAAAAATGTATATATATATATATATATATATATATATGTGTGTGTGTGTGTGTGTGTGTGTGTGTGTGTGTGTGTGTAGCTCCAGAGCTAATATTTATAAAGTTATCTCCAGATCTAATATATGACGTTATCTCTGGAGCTAATATCATATAGCATTAGTTCAGGAGATAAAAAGTATCACATTATCTCCAGAGCTAGTAGTGTATGATCCAGAACTAACGTAAGTTAGCTGCAGATCCAACTAATAGCATGAGCTCTTGATCTAATATATATGACATTTGCTTCAGAGCTAATCTAGATATAACTTTAAATCAAGAGCTAATGACATTAGATCCAGTGCTAATAAATGAAACATCACAAGTTGATCATGTTTGATCATATTGATCCATATATTGTGCAAAATAAAATTTTAGCCATGACTCAGTGTGTTTGACTCCGTGTCTTCACTAGAACCGATTTAAGTCATCACCCCAGAATGCATTGTGCTAGTAAAATAATGGCTACATCCCTATAGTAGGTGGAAAATGTAAAAAACATTTAAAAAAAAAAAAAAAAAAGAAAGAAAGAAAGAAATTTGGAGTTTTCACACATTTCTGCCAAAACGGAGTTCATCTGTAGTTTATTGATGGTGGAATGAATGATCTTATCAGAGCAAAGTCGGTGCTCTGCAGATTCTAAAATCTCCTAAAAGTAATTTTTTGAATCTCCGAACAAGGTTTTGAAGAAATATTATGAACAATGAATGTTCTGTCTGTTGGTAGCTCTTTGAATGGCCTTAGTTAAAAAAATTAAAGAAGTTTGTTTCTGACGAGCTAACAACTAGTGTGAGCAGAGTCAACATTTCAATGGATTGCTGCCATCTTGTGCTCAATATCTATGTTTACGTGGACATAATTAACCGGATCAAACGGCCGTTCGGAATAAAAACGCGTCATGTAAACACCCAGTTCGGGTTATTTTTTGTTTATTCAGCGCGATCCAAAATAATTTGTGATCAGAACGAAACGGGTGGTTTACGTCGATTCATAACCCAAATTGTGAGCATGTAAACGCTTGATCTGTTCATTTTTATCTGAATGTGAAAAACTGACCTGACTGCGCATGTGCGACTTTGTCATTTCCGCCTGGCTAATGCTAATAATATTAGCATGGGGAAGCAAAACTGGCAACATTTCTACTAGAAACTTTGAAAGAGCTCAAAATGATCTGTATTACCTGTAGCTCAGTCAGGGAGTGCGGTAACGTCTCCACCTTCATTAAAACCTGTCGCGGGTCCATTTTAGGTGCTCAGGTTTGTTTACGTTCATCCTGGAAGTAAACCGGAAGTAGAACTTCTTCTTTGGTGTTTTTTCTAAGGAGAGTTTACCACTCTGTGCATGTCAGTACTTCTGTTCAGAACAAAGTCCGCTGCATGTAAACACTCGTCATGAACAGATTGTGCCCATGTAAACGATAAATTTGAATGATTTATTCTGAAAACATTTCAATCCGGTCAAAGAATTTTGCACATGTAAACATAGCTACTGTGTCCACCTTTGATCAGACCAAGGACTCTGAAGAGGTAAATTCATCACCGTGGTAGAGGTCACCGAGGAAGATAAAATGTTCCTTGGCAATAGTAAAACAGGGAGGGTTGAGATTTCTTCTGAGAGGCTGAGGGCTGTAGATGTGGTGAGGTTATGGTTGGCATGCCTCTCCACTGTCTCTTGCGGGACCGGATTAACACCTGCGAGGTGCTAGACCAAGGTGGTAGTCCCCATTTTGAATAAGATGATTGTGTTTCAGGTATTGGGGAATCATACCTTTCAGTTTAACCTGGGGTTTTGAATGGAGGCTTTCAACCGATGGTTGAACCTCTGAGTCAAGAGGAGCAATGCGGCTTTCATCTTGGTCATAGAGCTAACTATTAGCCAATAATTATTTATCTGCTCTTTGACCATTTAATATTAAAACTGACATTTTCAGACGTCCAAGGTCATATGAACCATTAAAACTCCACAGTCCAACACTGTTCGATAAACTTTAAATTTTTTATTAAACAAGTCTCAAAAACAAAACAAAACAAAACAAAAACGAGACTTGAGTTGTTTTAAAACAGAAGTAACACACATTGACTGTTGCCTCGTTCAGACTATCTATTACATTCAGATCAGAATTACAGGGAATAAAATCTTGTTTTAAACATTTCAACAGAACCCAGCTTTATTTAATTTGAACGTTAGTGTTTGTCACAAAAACACAACTCCTAATGTGATTTGAATTCACAGGAAACTGGACGGTTCTCTGGGTTCTCCTACGATACTCAAAGCTGAGAACCATGACAGACGTGTTTCTCTTGAATTTGGTCATGTCGGACCTTTTGCTGGCCGTGTCCCTGCCCGTCTGGGCCTACAGCTCTGAGAGCATTGCATCATGCAAACTCATTACTGGACTCTACCAGGTGGGCTTTTTGACCTTTAACTATTCTTTTTTTTTGTAACAGTAGCTGCAATGGGGTGAAGTGTTCGCTTCTGCTGTCAAACTAAAGTCACTTCACATCGTGGCACATCCTGTTCTAACCCCACTTCCTCTCTGCTCTTCCCAACAGTTAGGTTTCTACAGCGGCACCTTGTTTGTGACCTTGATGAGTATGGACCGCTACCTCGCCATCGTCCATGCTGTGGCAGCCATGCGGACACGAACACTTCGCTATGGGATTATTGCCAGCGTCACAGTCTGGTTCATATCTGTGATCATGGCGGCCCCTCAGGTAGTATTTGCCTCCTTGGTGGATGAGATGGAGGACAACTTCACCATCCAGTGTCATCCTGTGTACCCAGAGGAGATGCAACAGTTTTGGAAAAAACGTCGAAACTTCAGCGAGAACACTGTGGGCCTTTTTATCTGCCTCCCAGTCATGATTTTTTGCTACGTGAAGATACTTATTGTGCTCTCCCGGTCCAGAAACTCCAAAAAGGGCAAGGCAATCAAGCTGATCTTCACTGTGGTGTGTGTGTTTGTGGTATGCTGGGTCCCCTACAACATTTTGGTTTTCCTCCAGACTCTGGAGCTGCTTCAGGTACTGAACAGCTGCAACACTTCAAAGGCCATAAACACAGCCATGGGCTTTGCTGAGATTATTGCTCTGTCCCACTGCTGCATAAACCCAGTGATTTACGCTTTTATCGGGGAGAAGTTCAGGAAAACGGTGGGCTATGTGCTGATGAAGCTTTCACCCTGTACCCATCCCAGCAGAGGTCCGATCAGTAGCCACACAGATGACACCTCTAACACAGCTGTGAGATCAGATCTGTAAAAATAGGTCATCTCTGTGGTGCAAGCTGCTCATGCAGTTTTTGTTTTTCTTTATTCAGTTTGTAAATGCATGGTGGTGATGTTGAAAGGTAAAGGGGGAGGTGTAGCACATGTGGTTTATGCTTGTAAAGACAAAAAGGTATTCACATTATGCTTCTTGATACATGCAAGGTAATGACTCATTCTGGAAGTACAGAGAATGAAAAGACATTTATTCAGACTATATTTTATTCTCCATTTCATATTGTTTATGGTGAAAACTGATTATCAGCTCGTGTTATCTTGTTTGTGTTTATTGTGACAACTTTATTCCTCAAAATAAAATGTTTTTGAATAAATACAACACTCATTTCAAAGTTCTTATGAGTTTCAAGCATAAATGGTTAAAAAAAAAAAAGATAAATCAGGTGTGACAGAAAGTGTAAATATATAGATTTATTAAGGAATAATTTTCCTGAAATCTATCCACCTTATTCCTAGGAGCTCTACTGTATAAATGATCATGGGTACAACTTCCTGTCAGACACTGGAAGTAGCAGAAAGCATTGGCTAACAATGGCAGCAGAGCACAGACCGTAGAAAGTAATTTGGATTCAGTTTAGCAGATACAACGCCGTTTTTTTTTTACATTGACAGTAGTTCCTCATTTATCGTGAGGGGTTCTGTTCTCAGTTCCTCCGTGATAAGTGAAAACCTGCGACGTAGGAATAGTAGTACAAGTAGTAAGTAGTAGTTTATTTTAGTATTTATGTGTATATAAATAAAGGTGTTTTTAAACCCTTCCCACACTTTTAGAATATTCTAAACAATGTTTCTAAACTCTTAAACACTAAAAGAGCACAGCATGTCCTGATCTCCAATATGACCCAAAACAAAAAGTGTTCCTGGTGTCGCCGTTCAACCCCAGCATTTTTGGCCAGCTCTTTTGTTTCCAGGTGGAGTGAAGACTCGTGCTCAAACAAATAATGGCTGAGAAGAATAAAGTTTTACCATTTAATTTATTTTAAGGCAGGAAAATGTACAGTCTTAGCGTTGAGAATTTGATGTGGGTCCCAGAAGACTAACATAAAGCACCGAACACAGGAAGCGTCCGTCCCTATATTCGCTAGGTTCCTCCTCTTAAATGGGATGGGAGCTTGGCCTTTCGTGTATCAGTATTTTATTTATGTGTGCCAATAAGACTTGTCAAAATGTTTTGGGGTGTTTGTGTGCAACTGTCCTTGTGTTTATGCAGCAGATAAACAAAACCTTCTCCTAATATGGCAAATGTCTTCAGGTGGCCATTGAGGCTCCAGAAGTCTAACTGATTTCCTGTCTTCTCTTTAACACTTCAAGATTATTTTAGGACATATCTAACATCATCTGAGGAAATATGTAACACTGGGAAAAGCAGTATAGTGTCCATTGCTCACCTACAGACGAGGAATTAAGAAGAATGTGGTTGAAAAATGAGAAGTTGAAGAGACCACCCAAAATTCTGTATGTGTGCTCATTTCACTTTGTTGACAAATGGCCAACGGAGGAAAACCTGAATCCTACTTTTTGGCTGGACTACAATAAACCACTGGCGAAGAGATGCCGGATCCTCGGAAGGATTGAAAACAGTGTGATGAGAATATCAGGTATTATTTCAAGTGTATGAATGGCACAGCATTATTGTATTTGTTTGTCTTCGGTATTACAATTTTCTCTGCAGTTAACCCAAGCTTGGTAATGCAGGACTTTAAGGCTTTGGCTGGACTCTATGTCTGCTTCAAGGTAAATAAGATTGTGTCCACCTCTTTTAACAAAACACGAGCGATCTTATTACTATGTAGATATTAATATACCTCAGAGCCTTTTAGGTTGTTTATTGCCTAGGGAGGCACCATGGGAGCATCCTTACCAGATGCCCGAACCACCACAACTGGCTCCTCTCGACATGGAGGAGTAGCGGTTCTACTCGGAGTCTCTCCTGGATAACTAAACTTCTTGCCCTATCTCTAAGGGAGAGTCCAGTTACCCTGAGGAGAAAACACATTTCAACCGCCTGTATCCGCAATCTCATTCTTTCAGTCACTACTCAGAGCTTGTGACCATAGATGAGAGTAGGAACATAGACCGACCGGTAAACAGAGAGCTTTGCCTTACAGCTCAGCTCCCTCTTCACCTCAATGGACCGGTACAGAGTCTGCAGTGCTGCAGATGCTGCACCAATCCATCTATCAATGTCACACTCCTCACTTGTGAACAAAACCACAAGATACTTGAACTCCTCCATTTGAAGCAGAACCTCACCCTCGACCTGGAGAGCAAGCCAACCTTTTTTGATTGAGAACCATGTCCTCAGATTTGGAGGTGCTGATTCTCATCCCAGTCGCTTCACACTCGGCTGCGAACCGCTCCAGTGAGAGCTGAAGATCACAGCATGATGACGCCAACAGGACCATATCATCTGCAAAGAGCAGAGATGGAATCCTGAGGCCACCAAACCAGAATCTCTCTGCCTCCTGGCTGCACCAAGAAATTCTGTCCATAAAAGTTGTGAATAGAATCCATGGCAACAGGCAGCCCTGGCAGAGTCCAACTCCCACCCTGAAGGGGTCCGACATTAACGGCAATGCAAACCAGACTCTCGCACCGCTTGTATAGGGACCGAACAACCCGTAACAACAGGCCCCCAATCCCATACTCACGGAACACAGTCAAATGCCTTCTCCAAGTCCACAAAACACATGTAGATCAGATGGGCAAACTCCCATGATCCCTCAAGGACCTTAGTGAGGGTAAAGAGCTAGTCCAGTGTTCCACAGCCAGAACAGAACCTGCATTGTTCCTCTTGGATGTGAGGTTTGACCAACAATCTGACTCGCTTCTCCAGTACCCCTGAATAGACCTTACCAGGGAGGCTGAGGAGAGCGATGCCCCTATAATTGGAGCACACCCTCTGGTCCCCCTTTTTGAAGAGGAGAACCACCACCCCAGTCTGCCAATCCAGTGGCACTGTCCCTGGTGTCCACACGATGTTGCAAAGGCGTGTCAACAAAGACAGCCCCACAACATACAGAGCCTTAAGGAAATCAGGGCAAATCTCATCCACCCCTGGAGCCCTGCCACTGTGGAGCTTTTTAACTACCTCGGTGACCTCAGCTACGGTTATGGACAGACAAGCCCCGAAGTCCTCCAACTTCGCTTCCTTTGTGAAAGTCGTGCCGGTGGTGGTGTTCCTACATGTTTAAATTAAATTCACAATGCTTGGAGAAACTACATTAGCTTCTACTGTTTGTACATGCCGGTTCTAGTATGCACCAGAAGTCATGCCCATAATTCATGCAAAGCACCATGGGGGCTAGGAATAATAATACTTTAGTTAGTTTTCCATTTTACAGAGAAAAAAAAATCTGTCAAAAAAACAGAAAAAATAAAACAAAAAAACTTCATCTAAACAATTCTAAAATCCACATCCACACTACTCAGGTTATAAAATTAAAATAACAACATGATATATTCTCTCTCACAACTCTCAGTCTTTGGTGAGAAAACATCCATCTATCATCATCTTTACCCACTTCTTTCTTTTAGGATCATGGAGGTCACTGGAGCCCATAGCCAGCAGTCACTGTGCGAGAGGCGGGGGACACCTTGGACAGGTCTCCAGTCCATCACAGGGACACAAAGAAAAACGACACAAACAACCATTCACTCTCTCACTTACACCTAGGGATAATTTAGTTTACAAATCTGCCTAATATGCATGTTTATTTTGGTCTGTGGGGGGAAACCAGAGTACCTGGAGAAAACCCATGCACGCACAGAGAGAACATACAAACTCCACCCAAAAAGGTCCCAGGCCAGGATTTGAACCAGCTACTTTCTAGCACAGAGGCAACAGCTCTACTACCTGCAAGAAAACAGACAAAAAAAAAACTATTTTCAAAAGAGAGATTATTTAAAAACCACTTTCTGGTGGATCCACGTGGACAGAAGATATGGAACTTTTCAGAAACCATAAAGAAGTCTCTTTTGGACACAGTTAGTGTACTGAAGACAAACAGATGTAGAGCATCCAACAAAGTTAAGTCAGGTCCTCTGGACGGTTTCTTTGTGTTGAAACGTTTCGTCTTTCATCCAAAAGACTTCATCAGTCCGACGAGCCACAACAAACTCTGTCTTTTAAATAGCACATTCACATAGTGGACCAACCAGTTTGATGGTGATCAGCTGGTTTCTGGAGTCCGCCATCTCCCCTGCCAACTCGTCTGAGGCGGCCATGCCCAAAGGGGCCACTGGTTGGAGCTTTTTAGCTCCACATGGAGCTTTCTTTCATAAAGTGAAACCCATATCTTACATATGCATCACACATAGAGTGGAATATTTCAAACCTTTATTTCTTGGAATTTTGATGATTATGGCTTATAGATAATGAAAAATAAATAAATTCAGTGCCTCAGAAAATTAGAATATTCTGTAGCCAGCTGCAGTATGTTGGCAGTGTGGGCAGGAGACAAGTCCTGCTGGAAAATGAAATCAGCATCTCCATAAAGCTCATCCACAGGAAGAAGCAGGAAGTGCTCTAAAATATCCTGGTAGATGCTGCGTTGACTGTGGACTTCAGAAAACACAGTGGACCAACAGCAGCAGAGGACATGGACCCAAACCATCACTGACTGTGGAAACTTCACTCTGGACTTCAAGTAACATGGATTCTGGACCTCTCCTCTCTTCCTCCAGACTCTGAGACCTTGATTTCCAAATGACATACATAATTTACTTTAATCTGAAATGAGGACACTGGACACTGAGCAACAGTCCAGCTATTTTTCTCCTCAGCAGATAAGACGCTTCTTATGTTGTCTTTGGTTCAGGTTTGACGAGGAATGTAACATTTGTTGCTCATGTCTAAGAGTTAATCAGCTGTTTGTGACACAAAGAGTTTATAATATTGATCCATTTCACAATATTCTAATTTACTGAGACAGAGCTAGTTTTTTTTATTATTTGTAAGTTATTGTTGGATAATTT